GGAGATGGTCCACGTCCTCCCAAGATGGCCAGATATGATAATGGAAGTGGATATCGAAGGGGTTCTGGATATGGTGGTGGGGGCTATGGCGGTGGGGGATATGGTGGTGGAGGCTATGGCGGTGGGGGATATGGTAGTGGGGGCTATGGTGGTGGGGGCTTTGGAGGTGGTGGGGGCTTTGGAGGAAGTGGAGGTGGCTTCGGTGGTGGAGGCTTTGGCGGTGGCGGCTTTGGCGGTGGAAGTGGTGGAGGATTTGGAGGTGGAAGTGGAGGGGGCTTTGGAGGAAACTATGGAGGTGGTGGAGGCTTTGGAGGAAATGATGGTGGCTTTGGAGGGAACGGAGGAGGCTTTGGAGGGAATGGTGGAGGTTTTGGAGGTGGTGGAGGTTTTGGCGGTAGAAACTATGGAGGTGGTGGAGGCTATGGTGGTGGCTCCAACTCTTACCGGGGAGGATATGGTGGAGGTGGAGGTGGTTTTAGAGGAGGCTCACAAGGGGGGTATAGAGGTGGCTTTGGGGGGGACTACAGAGGATCTGGTGGGGACTACAGAGGATCTGGAGGAGGAGGCTACAGAGGATCTGGAGGATTCCAGCGAGGCGGTGGCCGGGGCAACTATGGGGGAGGCTACTTCGGACAAGGGAGAGGAGGCGGTGGTTATTAAACTTCGTTATGTCAGTGCCTATGCATAGTTTTTTTTTAAGCATGCTATATGTTTTCCCCAAGATGTTTATTTCCACCAAATCAGTAAACTCATTTCCCTTCTATTCTGTGGTTTATTGTAGTTTAAGGAAACCAAGCATATAGAGTTAGTGATTTTGTTTATATTATGTAAAATACAATGACCTATTATACAAGCACCATGCCAGTTTGTATTTTTTTTCTTTTAAGGAGTAAAAATTTGCCTTTTAAATTAACTTGGTATTTTCTTGGCTTCATTTAATACAGTAAAAAATAAAGTGTCACAATAAATCCCAACTGTGTAGTTGACCATTAATCTCACACAACAGTGTTTCTACAATGCTAGTTGTATTTATTTTAAATGTCGGGACCAGTTGCGCTATTTCAAGGAACATATACCAAGTGACACTAGCCATTGTAACAGAGAATGACCATGATATCAAATTGCAGTTCTTATAGTCAACCTAAAGCTGAACATTTTTTCTTCTAAGATTTGTTTAAAGACCAAGGTCAGGATGTTCTTTTCTCTATCAGTTTGTTTTCTATTATGTGACATTTAGAAAGTGCATCAGTCTGGAGAACTCTGGGTCAAGTCTATTTTAGGCAGTCCAAGGGAAGCATAAAGTTTAGAATTTGGGATCAGGGAGGTATATTTCGTATTTGTCTATAGTAAAATGTATTTCAAAAGATACTTGATTGTACAAGTTAGAATTTCTAGTGAACTTTCATAATTTCCCATGTTGAAAGCACAATGTAGAGAGTGCATTGACTTTAGATTAGACATTCTTGGGCTAACATCTGTTTTGGTGCTTGGAATGAAAGGCCTCAAGTTTCTGCTTGGCTTTTTTTGCTTTTGTCTGGCACCCTACCATTTGAGCCATACCTCTAGTCTGCTGGGTGTGTTTTTTTTTTTTGTTTTTTGGTTTTTTTTGCTAGTTACAGAAGATGCAGTTGAGTGGACTCTTCTCCCCAGGCTGACTTGCAACCGAAATCCTCAAGGTCTCAGCCTTTTGAGTAGCTAGGATTACAATCATGAGCCACTGATACCTGCTTGGATTTGCTTTCTGTAACTGGATGTTTGTGCACAAAATGTATTTTGTTTTAGTAGTGGTGTTTAACATCCTCATTCTTCACTGTTGTAAGGCCAGTGATTCTTGTTTTTATCAAGTCCCTTATCCTAGCTTTAGATTCTTCTGAAACTGGTTGATAATTGTGAATAAAAAAATCCATATTCTCAAACTAGTGCTTCATTTCTGAATACCAAACTTGTTAAAAAAAAAAAACTGCCTGCTGGACATGAATCTTTGCTAAGATATCCCACAATCACAAATAAAGTGTATTTTTCAAACTTGTGGGGTTTTTCCAAGTTTTTAACTTAATTCCTTAAATCATGCATTTTCCCTGATGTGGTTTTATAAAAATAAATCTGTCCATGTGTTGGTAACCATGGACAGTGTCAGAGTTGTTACCTTTGTTGCACTTTGGGTGTGTGCCTGTTCTGAGGCTTGAACTCAGCCTGGGTGGGTCCCTATGTTTTTTGTGCTCAAGGCCAGGGCTCTACCACGAGCCATAGCTAATTTCTGGCATTTTAGTGGTTAGTTGAAGGTATGTGGAGTCTGACAGACTTTCTGGAACAGGCTGGCTTCCTCAGGTCCATTATCTTTGGATCTAAGCCTTCTGCATAGCTAGGATTACATATAGACAGAACACTGGCACCTGGCTGCACTTTTAAGCTTTAGAATTAGTGGCATGATATGTATGACCCAGTTGCCACTGGTTACTTAATGAGAGGCTGGGAGAAGTTTGCCAGTTTCTAAAAAGCCATATTCCAAAAAGTGAGGACACTGCATTGTACAAGATCTTCCCAAGGTTTGCTTTCTAAGTAAATTCCCCTTGAGTAAAAAACCACCTAGAAGAGTAGGCTGACCTAATTTTCCTTTAGTAGAAAAAGGTTTCTGAAGTTCATCTGAATTACTGTCTAAAAGTTTTAAGGGCTGTGAAGGTGGTAGGTTGCTTGCCTTGCACACACAAGCCCCTAGGTTTGATTCCTCAGCACCACGTAAGTAGAAAAAGTTGGAAGTGGCCCTATGGCTCAAGTGGTAGAGCGCTAACCTTGAGCTGAAGAACAGAGTTCAGGCTGTATGTCCCCCCCCCCCCCCAAAAAAAAAGTTTCATACTTGTATGCTTTTTATATTTCTGGATTTACATTTACATGAAAGGGATTTGTGGACTGGGAAAAGTTAAGATTGCCTGAGTGGGGTACTTGAGATTTGGTTTTTTGAAGGGTTTTTAATGAATTATTTGTCCATTATGCAAAGGCAAAAATAAACCAGGTGCATGTAAGCCTAGATACTCTTGAGGTCTGAGGACCACTCTATGCCATCCAGCCCTGTCAGGAAAGTCAGGATTCTTCATTCTCAAGCAAAAAGCCAGAGGAGGGGTTGTGGATCACGTGGTAGCACTCCAGCTTTGGAAAAAACAGGTAGTCTGGAGTTGAAGCACCTGTAGAGGCACATTTAAAAAGGCTAAAGTAAGACTTCAGGTTCATCCCATTTTAAACTACCCTTTATATTATATATCTCTTGTATTTGGTACCTGATGTCCTGAGTTTTCACTTTGTACAGGCAGAAGCTAGTCATTTAAAATTAAAATTTGTTTAAAAAAAATTAGAAGGCCAGGCATCGGCTCACACCTGTAATCCTAGCTACTTGATACTGACACCTCCAGATTGCCGTAAGATCCAGCCCTGTAAGGAAAGTAGAGCTGTGGCTCAGTGGTAGAATGCTAGCCTTGAGCGTAAAATCTCAGGGACTCTAGGCCCTGAGTTCAAGCTCTACAACTGACCACAAAATTTCAGTAGTTTTACTTGCAATACATTGTGGTTGTGTGGATTGCTTAGGAATCACAACATTAGAAAAATTGGGTGTGGCTTGGCACCAGTAGCTCATGCCTGTAATCCTAGTTCCTCAGGAAGCTGAGATCTGAGGATTGAGGTTCAAAGTCAGCCTGGCAGGCAAGTCCATGACACTTCAATTAACTACAGAAAAGCAGTTGAGCTCATGGACAACACCCAGGCCTAGAGTTCAAAGCCCCACCATCAACAAAAAGATGTGCATAAAAAAATAGGGATCTTAGGTACACACAGTGCTGTGGAGTTGGGTGTAAAGCAATGGAGGATATAGTTCTTATAATTCAGTTTTAAATTCCTTTTGGCTATATTCAGGTTTGGCTATGTAGGTGGTAGAATAAGGTTCTAACCTGCTTTATTACATGGTTAAAAGGGTTTGCTTATGTGATTTAGGTTAAAGTTACTGAGGTGAGTGGCATTCTGGGTTATTGAGTGATTCCTTAAAATTGGGACTATGGGAGGGCTTGATTTACTGTAGCTAACTAAATATGGAAGACGGCCTTGAGGCAAAACAACTTCAAGTCACGACAAGTCAAAAATCAACTTTGATCCCTTGGTTTCTGTCAAGTAGCAAGGAAGCAGCCTTCCCTGGAGAGTTGAATATCCCAGGCTTCCAACCTACAGAATTATGTTGAAAACGGTTTTTATGACAGCAACAGAAAATGACTTAATTCAGTCTCAGGTTTGTAAAAGCCTAGGTACTCAGGAGAGTATAAATCCCAAGTGTCTGGTAATGAACCATAAGAAAGCAGGGCACTGGTGGTTTGCACCTGTAATCCTAGCTATTCTGGTGGCTGAGATACAAGGATCATGGTTCAAACCCAGCCTGGGCAAGAAAATCTATAAAAGTCCCATGAGGCTCTTATCTCTAACAAAAGTACTCAGAAAAAGCTGGAAGTGGCTCAAAAGTAGAGCACTAGCCTTGAGCAAAGTATTTGTTCAGGGACAGGACAGGCAGGGGGAAAAAAGCCTTAAAGATGTGGCTCAAGAGCCGGGCGCCAGTGGCTCATGCCTGTAATCCTAGCTACTCAGGAGGTTTGAGATCCAACCAAAAAAAAAAAAAATGTGGCTCAAGTGGTAGAGCACCAACCTGGACCAGAAAAGTTAAGGGAGGGATGTGGGCCCTAAGTTTGAATCCCAGTGCTGGTAAACAAAGCAAGGTCTTTTTGGTTGGTGGTGGGGCTTGAACTAGGCCTGGGTGCTGTCTTGTCTCTCAGCTCTTCAACTCAAGGTGAGTGTTCTACCACTTGAGCCACAGTGCCAATTCAGGTTTTCTGGTGGTTAATTGGAGATAAGAGTCTCATTGACTTTTCTGCCTAGGCTGGCTTTGAACCAGTCTTCAGAAGATCTCAGCCTCTTGAGTAGCTAGGATAACAGGCATGTGCCACCAGCGCCTAGATCATGAAGCAGGATGTGGTAGGACAAGCTTTTGAAGTCTCAAATATGTAAGAAGTCTAGATTAATAGGCCAGAGATCAAAGGCTATATCCAAGCCCAAAGAAAAGTCACAGGAGGGATTGGAATTGGGAGGCCCTGAGTTCAGATTCTAGTACTGCAAAAAAAAAAAGGGTGATTATACCACATAAGTATGCAAGAAAACTGGTTTGCTCAGATAGAGTGATGTTCTCAAAGTGGTTATTTTAAAAATGAGTGAAAACATTTAAATGTTTTAATGTTTTTATTAAGCTTTACATTTAAAACTACCATTTCTGTGGGGTATGAAAATTGTTTGCTTAAAGTCCTGAAGTACACACATTTGTCCAGATGCTTTAACTGGTGACTATTCTGATATCTCCCTTCAAATTTGCTTCTATCTTATTATTATTCATCTCCAGATTCAGGTTCTGCATTACTTTAGAGAGCATTTTGTCATCTTTTTTGTCTCCAGAAGCTGCCCCTTTGTTCAGAGCATCTTCTGCCACAATAAAAAATTGTTCAGTTGGTTGAAGAATGCTGACTCCATAGCCATTGTTATTGTAAATGTGATTATTAGTCATCTTCAATTTGGGCGCTGGAAGGACCTGTTGAGTTATTTGAGGAAATATTTTAGTTTTAATTCAAAAAATTAGCAGCTAGGCGGAATATATAAAGTTGACACATTTTTGTGCTAAACAGTTTTTTCTTTTGTGCTGGTCTTGGGGCTTGAATTCTGCTGTCCCTTAAGGTTTTGCTCAAGTCTAGTGCTGTACCACTTGAGCTACCACTTTGCTGGAGATTAACCAGCAAATTGGAGTCTTTCGGAATTTCCTGCCCAGGCTGGCTTCAAACCATGATTCTCAGATCTCAGCCTCCTGAGTAGCTAGGTTTTCAAGTGTGAGCAACCTAGTAGTACTAGCTAATATTCGCTGGACATGCTTAATGTAAAAATACTAAATGAAATTTTGTCAGCTTTTTATCATAAACTTACATAAAATGTTTCAAATTGAGAGGGTCTCAATTTGAAGCCATCTTAAGACCCCACCTCCTGCGCACGCACACAGCAGCACCAACAAAATATGTAGTCTAGATGGGATATAATCAGTGAAGGTAGCCCCTAATACATGATAAAGGAGGAAAAATAAAGTCACATAATGTAATTCTGGAAAAGATGGAATGGGACATTGCAGTACATATAGCACAGCATCATTGGCTAGCATGGCCATGTGTTATCACAATTAGAGTTCTTTACAGTGTGTTCTTTGTGTGTGTGTGTGTGTGTTTCTGGTCCTGTTGTTTGAGCTCAAGCCTTGGACACTGGCCCCTGAGCCTCTGTGCTCAAGGCTAGTGCTCTACCAGTTGAGCTAGATTACCACTTCTTTTTCGGAGTAGTTGATTGGAGATAAGAGATTCAAGGACTTTCATGTCCAGGCTGGCTTCTAGCCATGATCCTCAGATCTCAGTCTCCTGAATAGCTAGGATTACAGGGTATGGGCCACCAGCACCCAGCAGACAGTAACTAATTTGACTATAAATAGTCACTATTAAAGTTATATTGAAAAGGTTTCAGATAAAGGTAATAGCAACAACAGGATAATTTCTGGGAAGAGCAACAACATAATCTAGTGTGGCTTGAATATAATACATTTGTAGAAAGAATGGAGGGATGGCTGGAGAAAGCATAGATCTTAACAGATTTTTTTTTTTTTTTTTTTGGTGGCTGGTGGTGGGGCCTGAACTCGGCCTGGGCGCTGTCCCTCAGCTCTTGAGCTCAAGGCTAGTGCTCTATCACTTGAACCACAGCATCACTTCCAGCCTTTTCTGCTTATGTGGTGCTGAGGGATTGAACCCTGGGCCTCATGCATGCAAGGCAAGCACTCTACCACTGAGCCACCTTCCCAGCCCCCTTAACAGATTTTATAATCCTGACAAAATTATGTGATTATTATATATGAATGTTTGAAGTCACATTCTAAGTTCTGAAGTAAGGCTCAAGATTCTGCTGGGTTTTGTTGAGAAAGGGTCTCTATTGGAACTCGGGCTAACCTGTTTGGCACAAGTAATGTTTCAGATTTTTAAGGGAGTTTGAAATATTTGCACATAGAACTTTCGCTAACCAAGCTTGGCCTACAACTCTTCCCTGGATTACAGGCTGGCACCATCATACCCAGTAGGAACAGTTTTTGTTATTTTTCACTAAGGATCTTACACAGGGTATTGCCATCATGGATATACATACCTAACCCTTTTTGTTTCTGGGACAGGATCTTACTATGTATCCCAGACAAGCCTTAAATAAGATCTTACCTTGGCCTCCTGAGTCACAGAATTACAGGCATGTGCCACCATGCCCGGCAAGCCACCAGATGCGGGTGTTACTGGTCTTTGGCTCATTTTGAGCTCAGTGTCACTTAAGAACCTGATAGGACAAATTCTGTCTTCAATCTTACTGAATTGTTAACTGAAGGAAGTAACTCTTCAGGAGACATTGTGAAGTGTATTAACATTTAGTTACCTCTAACAAATTTAAGAAAACTTCAGAGCAGAAACAAGTTTTTGTTTGTTTCAGTTATGGGACTTGAACTTAGGGTCTGGGTGCCATCCCTGAGTGCTTTTGCTCAAGTCTAGTATTCTACCACTTTGAGCCACAATGCATTTCTGGTTTTTGAGTGGTTAATTGGAGATAAGACTTGTCTCAGGTACTTTCCTGCCCAGGCTGGCTTTGTACTGTGATCCTCATGTCTCAGCCTCTTGAGTAGTTAGAATTACAGGTGTGAGCCATCAGCACCCTGCCAGAAGGGTTTTTCAGATAAATTTCAAAATTACACAGGGCTTCAATTACCTGTTTACCTTATTGTTGACCAGTTCTGGCTTAGTGTTAGAAGTCAAGCTGGAGCAGATACGGAGGTCTACTAACTAATACAGGTTGAACATCTCTAATTCTGAAAACCAGAAATCTGAAATGTTCCAAAATGGAAACTTTGGATGCTGAGATGAGACAAGTGGAAAATTCAACTTCATGAAGGTTTGTATCACTCACAATTAGAATATTGTATAGGAATATCTACATAAAGCATGAATGAGTAACATTTAAATTCAGTCCATTCCCCCAGACATGTATGCAAATATTGAAAACTCTCAAAATCTGAAAGTATTCGTCTCAAGCATTTCAGATAAGGAATATTGGATGAACTGCCCTTAAGTAGTTTAAGATGTGTTCGAAAAGACAATGGGCATTTCTAAAACAAATAATTACAACGTAGAAATGGAAGGGAAACTCAATATTGAACTCATTACAGAAGCCTAGAGAGGAACCTGGAAAAACAGAATTTATAACAGCAGGAAGGAAAGAGAAGACATTGAGCAATTATTCCTCAAAATCTTTTTACCAACAGTTTAAATTTAAAATTACTAAACAGAGCTAAAATGACTTCCCATCAGCCATTATTTACACATACATGTAACTTTTCCAAATCAACTATCATTTTAACTAGGTGGTAAGAATGAAGCTAATGTTTTATAAGCATTGCTTAGATATTTTATTTATTTATTTATTTATTTTGGTCCGGTTGTGGAGCCTGAACTCTGGGCCTGGGTGCTGTCCCTCAGCTCTTCAGCTCAAGTCTAGCACTCTACCACTGAGCCACCTTCCCAGCCCTGCTTAGATATTTTAGGATTCTACTTTAATCACTAAGACAGTACCTTCATATTAACTCCACCTAAAGTGCTTTTTGAACTGTCACTGGTTCTGAGATTATTACAGTGGTGAATTTCATTCCTTTCCAAAATGGCTACACTCCCAGGATATAGCTCAACACCAGCACCCTATAAAGGAAAAGCAAATAAAAGAAATTACAAGGCATGTACACAATTCCTGCTCCAACTTACTCTTTTACTGGAATATTTTGTAGTGGTTGGGACCCAGCCCCCAAGGACTTATGAATGCTAGGCAAGTTGCTTTACGTGCACTACCCCAAAACTAAAATTCTCTTATTAGTAAGCTAATCTACTAAGCTACATAGTTCATGCAATAACCGAGTTTTGTTTTTTTTTTTATGCACTGAATAGTCATTGAAGTACTGTTGCAATCACATCCAAGCCCAAGACTGCTGTCTCATTTTTGTGTAATTGGGTCTTTGTCTCCTGCTATTAAGGAAATAAGTTTAACAAGGTTCACACGGGCTGACAAATGTCAATTTAGCTTTGACATTGCATTTGCAGTTACACAGGGCAGACCTTGGGTCTGCAACAAGCTTACAGAAATTACTGTTATATGAATCAAGAACTAAAAATTAAGCTGGGCACTGGTGGCTCACGCCTGTAATCCTAGCTACTAAGGAGGCTGAGATTTGAGGATCTTGGTTCAAAGCCAGTCCAGGCAGGAAAGTCCATGAGACTCTTATCTCCACTAGAAAACCGTAAGTGGTGCTGTGGCTCAAGTGGTAGAGTGCTCGCCTTGAGCTGAAGAGCGCAGGGACAGCACCCAGGCCCAGAGTTCAAGCCCCACGACCGACCAAAAAAAAAGAAGAACTAAAAATTTTACAGGTGCTGGTGACTCACGCCTGTATTCCTAGCTACTCAGGAGGCTGAGATCAGAGGATCATGGTTGGAAGCCAGCCCAGGCAGGAAAGTGTGAGACTCTTATCTCCAATAAACTATTCAGAAAAAGCCATAAGTGGTGCTGTGGCTCAAGTGGTAAGAGTCTAGCCTTGAGCAAAGGAAGCTCAGGAGTCAGCACCCAGGCCCAGAGTTCAAGCCCTAGGACTGGTTACAACAAAAACAAATACAAATTTAAGAAAGCTTTGTGAATACAGATGTTTATTAGTATAAATGGGTATGTGTGTGTGTAATCAACATGGAGAGATGTTAAGATATTAAAAATTATTAGAGAACTACCTTTGAGGTAAGCTGATGTCAAACTTTTTTACCCATTTTGAGTTCTAGGAGCCTAGGAGTCTTTGTGTTGTTTGGAGGGTTGTGGTATGTGTGTGTGTGTTTGTGTGCAGCAGTTAACTCAGAATTGGAGCACTGTCTTAGCTTTTGTGCTCAAGGATAACACTATCACATGAGCCAAAGCTTTGTTCCTGGCTTTTTGGGTCATGGACTTTCTTGCCTAGGCTGGCTTTGAACTGAGATCTTCAGATTTCAGCCACCTGAATAGCTAGAATTACAGGTATGAGCTACCAGCACCCAGTAAATCTGTTGTTTTAATAGTTTATAAATATATATACATGAATAGATTTATGCATTATATACATATATTTATACATTATATACATGTTAGGCAGTTCACATTTCCCAATGTTAAATGGCATTTGGTTGATTTTTCTTTTTCTGGGTTAAAGTATAGTTCCTTTGAAAAATAAATTGCTATGTTTGAATGCAAAGATTCTTCACAGTCATTACCTATAGTCATATAAAAACCATACTTTGATAGAATGAAATACCTGGGCACCAGTTATTTCACTGTCTGTAATTGTCAAAGCAGCCCCCGTAAGAACACACACTCCTGTTCCTTCACATTTTAATATACAGTTTTCTAGAGTCATGTGACCTGACTCCACCACCACAATACCATCAACCGTCCCTTGTTGTATCAAAGAGAGGTGCATTAGTTTCACATTGTCAGCTTTGGAGACCACGAAGCTGTCATGAGAAGGGTCAGAAGTAATCATAATTTCTTCTCTCTTTCCAACTCCTGGTGTATAGGGACAAAAACAAATCAATATTTTTCTTTCAATTATTTTCACCAAAAGTTACATATCTGCATATATAAATGATTCAGTTGTGAACTATAATACAATCTTTTGTCCATATATCGATGCCATAGTGGAAAAATATGTTTACGATCATAATCTAAATGTGCTAGTAGCATTTATTCAACAAACTCGTTCCACTAAGTATTTCCCTAAATTTTACAATCAGTTGGGTACAGATATCTGAGCTACAAGATATATGCCAAAGTTTTTTTTGGTGCCAATACTGGGGCTTGAACATCAGGGCCTGGGTATCATCTCCTATCTTTATTATTATTATTATTATATATATTTTTTGTCAGTTGTAGGGCTTGAACTCTGGGCTTGGGCGCTGTCCGTGCACTCTTCAGCTCACGGCGAGCACTCTACCACTTGAGCCATGGCACCACTTCTGGTTTTCTAGTGATTTATTGGAGATAAGAATCTCATAGAGTTTCCTGCCCAGGCTGGCTTTAAACCATGATCCTCAGATCTCAGCCTCCTGAGTAGCTAGGATTACAGGCGTGAGCCATCGGCGCCCAGCTTCTCCGATCTTTTTTGCTCAAGGGTGGAGCTTGACCACTTGAGCCACCACACCACTTCCCACCTTTTCTGAGCATTTTATTGGAGATGAGAGTCTCACAGACTTTAGTGCCTGGGCTGGCTTTGAACTGTGATTCTCAGATCTCAGCCTCCTGAGTAGGATTACAAGCATGAGCCACCAGCACCTGACTTTTGTTTTGTTTTAAGTGATAGAATCTAAGTGTACTTTTGGCCAGACAATAGGAATACTCATTGCCACGTTAAAATGACAGAGTAGTTTTGGTAAAAATAAACATGAAGGGCTAAGAATGTGGCTTAGCGGTAGAGTGCTTACCTAGCATGCATGAAGCCCTGTGTTCAATTTCCTCAGTACCACATAAACAGAAAAGGCCAGAAGTGGTATTGTGGCTCAAGTGGTAGAGTGCTAGCTTTGAACAAAAGCAGCTCAGGGACAGTGCCCAGTCCCTGAGCTCAGGCCTCAGGACTGGCACCAAAAAGGAAAGAAAAACAAAAATGAAGCTGGGCACCAGTGGCTGTAATCCTGTAATCCCACTGAAGAGGCTGAGATCTGAGGGATCGGGGTTCAAAGCCAGTTTGAGCAGGAAAGTCTGTAAAACTTCCAATTAACCACAGAAAACCAGAAGTGGTACTGTGGCTCAATGTGGGAAATTGCTAGCCTTGAGTGAAAAAGCTTAGGGATAGCACCCAAGCCATGAGTTCAAGCCCATGACTGACACCCCCCTCTCCCCCAAAAAAGCTGAGATTGAGGACTGCAGTTTAAAGCTAGCCTGTGTAGGAAAATCTGTTCACTTATCTCCAATGAGCCACCAAAAAGCCAGAAGTAAATAGAACTGTGACTTAAGTGGTAGAGTGCCAGCCTTCAGCATAAAAACTCAAGTACAGTGCACGGGACCCACACAAAAAGAAAACATGGCCAGGCCCTGGTGGCTCACACCTGTAATCCTAGCTACTCGGGAGGCTTGAGGTCTGAGAGTTGTGGTTCAAAGCCAGCCCAGAAGAATGTCCTTGAGACTCTTATCTCCAATTAGCCAGAAAACTAGCCTTGAGCAAAACAAGAGCTCAGCAACAGCACCCTGGTCCAGAGTTGAAGTAAAGCATGATGAACTTGAGGGCTGGTAATAGGCCTGTTTTCCCAGCTACTGGGGAAGCAGGAGTGGGGTAGGATCATGAACACAGACCACAGTATCACCCATCTCAAAGGAGGAGGAGGGAAAAATACGTACAGGATACAAGGGGACTTTTCTGAGATATAAACTGATTTTTGTTTGTTTTGAGGGGTTTTTTTTTTTTGGGTCCCGTCATGGGGCCTGAACTCTGGGCCTGGGCGCTGTCCCTTAGCTCTTCAGCTCAAGGCTAGCACTCTACCACTTGAGCCACAGCACCACTTCCGGCTTTTTTCTTTTTGCTTATGTGGTGCTGAGGAATTGAACCCAGGGCCTCAGGCATGCAAGGCAAGCGCTCTACCACTGAGCTACCTTCCCAGCCCTTGAGGGGCTCTTTTAGTTTTGTTTTATATTACTGGGGTTTGAACCCAGGGTTTTGTTCATTGCTAGGCAGGTGCTTAACCAATCAAACCACACCCCAGCTCTATTTTTTTTTCTGCCAGTCCTGGGGCTTAGCATTATCCCTGAGTTTATTTTGCTTAAGGCTAACACTCTACCACTTGAGCCCCAGCTTTTCTGTTTATGTGGTACTGAGGAATCAAACCCACGTCTTCATGCGTGTTAGGCAAGCACTCTACCACTAAGCCACATTCCAAGCCCCATCAGATCTAACTTCTATTAATTTCATTACATGTGCTTATGATGTACACACACATACACACACACACACACACACACACACACAAAACTCTGTGGAGGACAGCCTGCTAACCCTTAATAATGATATCATCAGTCAATAAAGCAAGATTTGCAGCTTGATATTCTCCTGGGAAAATAACTACTGTATCTCCACTATAGCAACTATCCAAAGCCAAATCCAGGTCATCATGCTGCTGGAGAAGAGTGTCTGCAGACAAGTCCTTTACCTGCAAAGAAGGAAAAAGTGCACTTTCAACAGCAAGCTCAACGGAAACCTGTCATATATATCTATTATCAATGGGAGCCAGGTACCTGTGGCTCCTGCTTATAATCTTAGCTACCTGATCTGAGACTTGGAGGGCTGGCATGTGGAGCTACCCCAGGAAGAAAAGCCAGACTAGAGGCATGGTTCAAGTGTTGTTCTTGCTATAAGCAAGAAAGCAGAGCAAGAGCAAGAAGCCCTGAATTCAAGTACCAAAAGAAAAGACAAATGGTGTAAGCTATACGTCAGAAGACATTGTGAACATCACAACCTACTTCCTCAGCCTCACTGCATATCCCCTGCTATAATAACACTAAGGAAATTAACATTCACTGATATTATGAGCCAGTCTAGGACATAGAGGTGGTGTTAAAGCCAAGCTTTACATACAGGATACTGCAGTTAATTGGTTTTTGTTTTGTTTTGTTTTTGCCGATCCTGAGGCTTGTACTCAAGCAGGACCTAGGCTCTGTCTCTGAGCCTCTCTGTACTCAAGGATAGAGCTCTTACCACTTGAGCCACGTTGCCAACTTCCGACTTTTTCTGTATATGTGGTACTGAGGAATTGAACCCAGGGCTTTATGCATGCTAGACAAAACTCTACCAATAAGCCACACTCCCATCCTCTTTTTTTGTTTTTTGTTGGTTGTGGGGCTTGAACTCAGCCTGGATACTGTCCCTGAGCTCTTTTATTTATTTTTAGTATATATTTTTACTTGTAAAGATACTGTACAGAGGGGTTACAGTTACATGAGTAAGGTAATGAATACATTTCCTATGAGGATTGTTACCTCCTCCTTTGTTTTTCCCCTACCGTCCATTCCCACCCCACCTACCCAACTCTTCCCTCCCCACCCAACGTTGTAAAGTTCGTTTTCAACATAGTGTCTTGTACATCTCATTGTTACAATGGGTCAACTTATATCCTTATTTCAGCATTTTGTTATTTCTCTTCCCCTCCCCAAATTAGAAAAATGTATATACAAGATGCAGGGCACTGACATCAAATACAGTGAAAATGGGTTGTACCTTGGGGGAAGAACATACAAAAGAAATCAACAAAATCACATAGTACATTAAAAATACATTAGAAACAACAAGCAATAAGGATAAAACCACTTGTGTCCCTATCTTGGGGTTTGTTTCGCTTAGCATCATCTTATATGGTCATATGTACAAAGCTTTTGACCTTTTCTGCTTGTCCCAGACATATACTAGTTATTGAAGATAAGGGAAACCATGGGACCTATTTTTCTTTGGGCCTAGCTTACTTCACTTAATATAACTTTTCCCAAGTCCTTCCATTTCCTAACAAATGGAGAAGTGTCATTCTTTCTGATGGAGGCATAAAATTTTATTACACACACACACACACACACACACACACACACACACATATATATATATATATATATCACATTTTCTTGATCCATTCATCTACTTAGGGACATCTGAGCCACCCGTGCCTGGCTTGTTTTGTTTGAGACAGGATCTTGTTGGGTTCAAACTCATGATCCTCCTTGCCTCAGCTTTCCAAATGCTAGGATTGCAGGTATGCACATGCCTGGTTAACCTTGTTTTCTTTTCCTTTTCCGTGTGTGTGTGTGTGTGTGTGTGTGTGTGTGTGTGTGTGTATCTCCTAGGGCTTGAACTCATCCTTGAACAAAAAAGCTAAGGAACAGTATTCAGGCCCTGAATTCAAGCCACACACCAGTGGAAAAAGAAGCTGGTGGAGTTTTATTTTGGGGTGATAAAAATGGTTACTACAGGTACGTAGCACAGTGAATGTGCTAAATGACATTGATGCTCACTTTAAAATGGTGATGCGTTATGCAAATTTTGGAGCACCCCAGAAAGAAATGTGACAATGTTGATCTGTGATTAGAATATAAATAGCAAAGTGGTAATAATAACAGTTAACACTCACTTACAAGTAAGGCATTTTTGTTATAAGATTCATATAAATTGTTTCCACTTAAGCCTAGATTTCACCACTCTATTTTTAAAGATTAGAAAATCAGAGAAACCATGTAAGTTATTTAATTTCATACAAATATTAAGATGCAAACTGGAATCAAAACTAGGTTTTAGCCAGAACCAGTGGCTTATACCTGTAAACCTAGCTACATGGGAGGCTGAGATCAGGACTGGAGTTCTAGGCCATAAAGCGTGGCCAGGAAGGGGCTGGGAAGGTGGCTCAGTGGTAGAGCGCTTGCCTTGCATGCATGAAGCCCTGGGTTCGATTCCTTAGCACCACATAAGCAAAAACAAAATAGCTGAAGTGGCGCTGTGGCTCAAGTGGTAGAGCACTAGCCTTGAGCTGAAGAGCTGAGGGACAGCACCCAGGTCCCGAGTTCAGGCCCCACGACTGGACCCAAAAAAAAAAAGAAAAAAAACTTGGCCAGGAAAGTCTGTGATACCATCTTGAAGCTGAGCATCATGGCATAGGCCTGTCATCCCAATAACTGGAAGTGTAAAATAGGTGAATGGGCTGGGAAGGCTGGTCAGTGGTAGAGTGCTTGCCTCGCATGCATGAGGCTCTGGGTTTGATTCCTCAGCACCATATAAGCATAAAAAGCTAGAAGTGGCTCTGTAGCTCAAGTGGTAGAGCGCTAGCCTTGAGTTGAAGAGCTGAGCGACAGCGCCTAAGCCCAGAGTTCAGGTCCCATGACCGGCAAAAAAAAACAAACAAAAAAAAAAACCTATATATTTATATAGGTGGATTGTGATCCAGGCAAATGCCTGGGCAGGAAGCAAAATCTTCTCTCAAAAACAGCCATTTCAAAAAAGGACTGGAAGTATGGCTTAGCAGTAGAGTGCCTTCCTAGCATGTGTAGGCCTGGGTTCAAGCTCAGTACTGAAGAAAAAATTAAAATAAAAAAATCAGATTTTTATGATTTAGAAATCTATGTTTGAGCCAAGTATGGTGATACACATCTGCTATGTGAAGTACTTAAGAGGCTGAGGCTGGAGGATCAAGAAGCCTGGGCAATATAGTGAGAGTCTCACATTATTACATGTTATTATAGTATCTATCATTCTGTGATTTATCAATAATTTCCTGTTCACTTGACCATTATCTCCATTGCCTGTGAAATCTGTCAGACAGATGAAGAATCAAGACTGTAAGTCTGGTTCAGTCATTTTTATCTCTTCTTCAGTATGGCAACAAGACAGTACCTGACAAGGCTAGGACTCAGGAAATAGTGCTCTGTATCTAGTTATGCATTACCTATATGGCAATCACTGGACTGGAGATAGTGGAAGAAACAAGATATTACTGAGTAAGACAAGAAGTCTACCTGAGGTCTCAACTCATCTGAGTTGCAAATAAAGTGTCTTGCTTGCTGCTGGTGACTCATGTCTGTTATCCTAGCTACTCAGGAGGCTGAGACTGAGAATCAAGGTTCAAAGCCAGCCTGAGCAAAAAGTCCATGAGACGCTCTATCTGTAATAACTACCAAAAAGCTAGAAATAGAGGTGTGGATAAAGTGGTAGAGCATTAACTAGTCTTGAGCACAAAAGTTGAGGTTAAGTGTCCAAGCCCTGAATTCAAGCCCCAGGACCAGCATACACACACACACACACACACACACACAAATAGATACACAGAATAAAAGTGCCTTTCATACCATTTCAGTAGTCATCACTTTTGCTACAATATGTGTGATAGTCTTTCCAAAGTCCCTTTTCCCTTTTCTTCGTCTCAAAATCCTTGGAAAGAAAGGTCCATGAACTCTAGGAGAAAGTATTTCTTAATGATTAAATTAGAATAGAAAATATCCAACCTTCTTTACTCACTAAATAAAAGCTTGGTGCTAAGCATCTTTGAACAATAGATATTGTGAACTGCTCTCTTTGGAAGCAGCTACTTGAGAGCAATATAAGGATTAAAGCCTTTTAGATAACTGTGTGCTTAAGCTCTTAAATTCTAAAACCTTTACACGTTAATGGATTATACCTGGAAATCATCTTGTAACTCAATGCAACTTTGGCTGGCTCAATCTTGCAGTAGTGAAAAAGCATTTCCTGATTGTGTGTTTGCAGTCCACTAAGTCACATACTTCCTCAATGCAGAGATGGGTTACATCTTACAATATGGGGCATAAATAAGAGCATTCCTCATTTTAATACTGTGTTTATTAGCAAGAAATTTCAACTGATACAGTCTCTGTACAATAGCTGGCTATGCTATGCTTTTCCTAGCAGAATTGTTCTTGTTTCTCAAATGTTTTTATATTATCTGCTTCTGGGTACTCCTAGCTACTTCCTCTTTTCTTTCTACTTTTATTTATGTATATCTATTTCAAAAAGAAAGTCAGAACTAGGTGTCTCTGTGGCTCATGCCTGTAATCCTAGCTACTCAGGAGGCTGAGATCTGAGGATTGTGGTTCAAAGCCAGCCAGGGCAGGAAAGTCCATGATACTCTTATCTCCAATAAACCACCCCAAAACTGGAAATGACACTGTGGCCCAAGTGGTAGAGCACTAGCCTTGAGCTGAAGAGCTGAGGGACAGCGTCCAGGCCCAGAGTTCAAGGCCCACAACTGACAAAAAAAAAAAAGATTATGTCAAAGCTTAGATTTATGAGTTGTCAAAAACAATCCAGCTTGGCTAGGAAAGTGGCTCAGTAGTAGAGTGCTTGCCTTGCATGCATGAGGCCCTCAGTTCAATTCCTTAGCACCACCTAAGCAGAAAAAGCCAGAAGTGGCACTATGGCTCAAGTGGCAGAGCACTAGTCTTGAGCTGGAGCTGAGGGACAGTGCCCAGGCCCTGAGTTCAGGCCCTATGACTGACAAAAAAAACCCCCCCAAAAAAACAAAAAAAACCCAGCAAGTTTGGCTCGTATGAAAATAATTTTTCAAGTTGTACCTTGTGCTTAATGCATTAATGAGACATCTGATTTTATAATCAAACCGATATGAAAAAAAGACTGCATTCCTGTCTCTAGTTCCAATAAGGCAAACCATTACCGCAGGCGTAAATCTTCCCACATTTTCAGTAATCCGCAGAGCATCACTATCTCGTAGTACTTCTTCCAGCACTCAACAGCCTCCGCAGCAGATGGGTCTTCCTTAATATTGCTTTGGTACTCGATGAGTTCAACTCGCTTGTTTTTGTATTTCTCCAACGTTTTTTTAAAGCGCTGTGCAATAGGCCCAGGGATGGTGCCATCCTGTATATCACACCACCTGAAAAGCATCAGGACAGTTACACTGTGTCTCGCACGTAATGTACGTAATCGTTTCTAAACTGTACTTACAAGTTAATTCTTTCTTCAATAAGAGCAGTATAATTCTCACAACTTTCTTCATCATCCCAGTCTCTCCAAAGAAAATCATAAAAAAACCTACAAGAAATTGAAAAGATAGTCTGACAGTCGTCAAACACAGCCTCTACAATATTTATAAGATTCTGTGATTCGAAAACTCGATATGCTGTCCTATCGAGACAGCCTCGGCTGCCTTCACACCAGGGATCTTCCTGCTTCACACGCTTCAGTGTTGAGATTACTGGTGTGCATTGAAACAGCGGGCTTGAAGTTGTATGAGTGAGTGAGTGTGTGTGTGTGTGTGTGTGTGTGTGTATGTGCCAGTGCTGGGGCTTAAATTCAAGATGTGGCCACTGTCCCTAAAATTGCTTGTTTGTTTATTATTTTATGTGTACCAGACCTGAAGCTTAAACTCAGGGCCTGGGTGCTGTCTCTGAGCTCCAGGCTAGTGCTCTACCATTTGAGCCATAACTCCACTTCCAGGTTTCTTTTTTTTCCCTCATGCTTATTTGGAGATAAAATTCTCATGGGCCTTCCTGTTTGGGCTGGCTTTGAACCATTGATCTCAGCCTCTTGAGTAGCTAAGATTACAGGCATATGCCATCAGGGGTGGCCTGGCTCTTGAATGTTAATTCTCAAAAAAAGCAAATTTTGAGCTGGGTACTGGTGGCTCCCACCTATAATCCTAGCTACTTTGGAGGCCTCAAGGTTCAAAGCTAGCCTGGACAGGAAATTCTGGGAGACTTAACTCCATCAGCAAAAAGCTAGAATTGGAGTTATGATTCAAGTGATAGAGATTCAGCCTTGAGCAAAAAAGCTAAACATTCAGATCTTGAGTTCAAGTCTCAGTATTGCACAAAAAATATAATAAATAAAATTAAAATGGAGAAACTTATGGCTGGATGTGTGGCTCAACTAGTAGAGTATATGTCTAAAAAACATGAGGTCTTATGTTAATAAACTTCTTAAAAATCACAAATTTAATCCACCTGTAACAAATTGATATTTATAAAACGCTCATATAAACAAAGACTGCATACTAAATTAACAGTTGAGTCTGGCAATTTTAACCTTTGGAAGAAAGCTTGCTTACCTTACAACTTCCAAGGCCAGAGCAATGTCCCCTGTGTCTGCATCCTGTCCTTCCACTGGGTACACCTCCAAGAGAGGTACACTATGCTCCAATTCCTCCAAAATCTCATCAACCAGGTCCCTTGGAATGTTTGCAATGTTGGAAGAGAAGGGCTCCGCCACAGACACAGTAACTTTGAAACAAGAGGATGAGTTCTGGAGTGGTTTGCAAGTAACCTAAGACAAATATTAAAACACATTAAACCACAAAGATTTTTCTCTGCTATGAACTATTTATAAAGTTCCTTCTTTTAAATATTTGGTTAGGCCCAGTGCTGGTGGCTCACACCTGTTATCCTAGCTACTCAGAAGGCTGAGATCTGAGAATCGTGGTTCAAAGCCAGCCCAGTCAGTAAAATCCATGAAACTTTTTTTTTTTTTTGGTGTGTGTGTGGGGTCCGGTTGTGGGGCCTGAACTCTAGGCCTGGGCGCTGTCCCTCAGCTCTTCAGCTCAAGGTTAGCACTCTACCACTTGAGCCACAGTGCCACTTCTGGCTTTTTTCTTTTTGCTTATGTGGTGCTGAGGAATCGAACCCAGGGCCTCAGGCATGCAGGCTCTACCACTGAGCCACCTTCCCAGCCCAGTCCATGAAACTTTTATCACCAATTATTCTCCAAAAAAGCTAGAAGTAGAGTTGTGGCTCAAAATAGTAGAGCATTAGCTTTGAGGGACAGTGCCCAGGCTCCGAGTTCAAGCCCCATGACAAACCAAAAAAACAAAAACCTCAAAAAACAAAAACCCCACAAATTGGGGCTGGGAAGGTGGCTCAGTGGTAGAGTGCTTGCCTCACATGAATAAGGCTCTGGGTTTGATTCCTCAGCACCACATTAAGCAGAAAAAGCCGGAAGTGGCATTGTGGCTCAAGTGGTAGAGCGCGCTAGCCTTGAGCTGAAGAGCTGAGGGACAGTGCCCAGGCCCAGAGTTCAAGCCCCACGACTGAACAAAAACAAAACAACAACAAAAAAAAAACAACCCACAAACTGAAATGTATATGATTGGGAACATGTTTTTGTTGTTGTTTTCTGGGTTTTTTTTGTTTTTTTTTGTCAGCTGTGGAGCTTGTACTCAGGGCTAGCACTCTACTACTTTGAGCTACACACCTCCACTTCCAATTTTCTGGGGGATAATTGGAGATAAAGAGTCTCCAAGCAGGACTTTCCTGCTTGGATTGGCTTCAACACTTAATCTTCAGCTCTCAGCCTCCTGGTAGCTAGGACTGCAGGTGTGAGCCACCAGCGCCAGGCACGTTTCCATTCTTGGTGAAGTTTTTTGTTTTCGTGGTGCTGGGAATCAAGCCCAGGGCCTTGCATGTGTTGGACAGGTGCTCTATCACTGAGCTAAATCACCAGTTGCCCTCCTTCCTCCTTATTTTCATTTTTCTATCCCTTTGTTTCTTCCAAATGTCTTTTTTTTTTTTTTTTTGTCGGTTGTGGGTCTTGAACTCTGGGCCTGGGCGCTGTCCCTCAGCTCTTCAGCTCAAGGTGAGCACTCTACCACTTGAGCTACAGCGCCACTTCCGGTTTTCTGGTGGTTTATTAGAGATAGGAGTCTCACGGTCTCTCCTGCCCGGGCTGGCTTTGAACCGCGATCCTCAGATCTCAACCTCCTGAGTAGCTAGGATTACAGGCGTGAGCCACCAGCGCCCGGCTCCAAATGTCTTTCTTTTAAATATTGGTTTGACCAAAGTACATGGGCCGCTTGGGGTCGCAGTATCAGCACCTGAGCCTGTGCTGCTGCCCTGACCGGTCAGTGTAGGAACCTTCTCAATAAAGTTGCTTCTTTGTTAAAAAAAAAAAAAAATATTGGTTTGAACCAATAGAAATTTTGGCTTGAAGATCTGATGACCAAATAAATATATGTGCTCCCGGTTAGCGAAATGAGCGCCCTTCCCATAGCTTAGTCCATTCCTTCCCCTCTCCACAGCTTAGCAGGCTCCCTTCCTAGGCAACACTAGGCCCATGTAGTAAATAATCAGCCTCCAGCCCCCTTTCCCTTGGGATGGCACTCTGGGGGCAGCTACCACCATAGAAGGCAACAAGAGCCCCTTAGAGTGACCTTCAGGTCTGGGCAGCTGTAGGACCCTTATCTACTGTTTGGATAGCAGCCATAAATCCTAGTCTGCCATAATGAAGCCCCAGCCCACACATCCACACCAGGGTCTCCGCTTCCTAGCACCTTCTAGCTCCTCCTAAGCCTCCTGGGTTATATAGGTCACCTCAGATCTGGCAGATTTGAGGCGAAAGGTAGATTTAGGGCAGATCATAATGTCCAGTGTCAGGAAGCTTGCGCCAAATTCCCTTCTTCCCAGGCTTAGCCAGGCTGATCAGTTTGGTATATTAAAATGATTTATAACTTTTGCCATTTTGGGAGAATTTTCAGCCACCAATTTTCAAAGTTTTTCAGCACTCTCTCACCCCTCTGGCACTTCACTTACTTATTTACATTTATTTATTTACTCATTCATTCATTCATTTAGTGTACTGGGTCTTGAACTCAGGACCTGGGTGATATTTGTTAGATTTTTCACTCAAGGCTGGCTATCACTTGAGCCACAGCTCTATCTCTGGCCTTTTGGTATTTAATTAGATATTAGAGTCTCCTGGACTTTCCTGCGTAGGCTGGTTTTGAACTGGAATCCTCAGATCTCAGCCTCCTGAGTAGCTGGAATGAACCACTCTTCTAGTAGTTTGAAGACAATATTAGGGGCTTTTGTTCTAGCTCATTATGTCCTTGAGACCCTGCTCATGTGTGTGTGTGTGTGTGTGTGTGTGTGTGTGTGTATGTGTTTTAGTTTAATAGAATTTCATGCCTTTAGTGCACAACAGCTACATGTAATTAATACATAGTTTCTTTTTTCTTTTTCTAAAAATCTACTCAATTGTTTACTGTTGTCTTAAAAAAAATAGAACATAAGAAAACAAGTAGATGGGTTCCGGGTACTTCTGGTTCTCCCTAAAATGGTCTTTTTTTGAGAGAGAGATTTGAATGCCTTATGGGACTTCTATAAGTCAGTTTTGGAAATCAGAAGGTCCCTTTAAAATCCTTGATAGCGGCCATTAAATAGAAGGAAACAGTTTGTTTAGAACAAAAAGGTTTGTTTTTCTCTGGAAGTCAGATTTGGTCATTTCTTCTTTTTCTGTCTTCAAGGCCAAATTCTGTCAAGAGTTTTCTGGTATATTTCCTCATCTGAATCAACTCTCTCACAATTGAGATAAATGAAGGCAAAAAGGAAATGATAGCCCAAGTTTTTGCCAAAGCAAAACTTATAATTTCATTCAGAGAACAAAGATCAAGTGAAACTTGTCACCTCAACCAGGATACCAACGAAAGGAATGGAGGCCTCCTCGTATTTCACGAAGAACAGCTCAGGGTTGGTCTTCCACACGCCCAGCCATTTGTCCCTCAGCTTTAGCTTTTCTGACAGGTATTTACTCATGGCTTCATCAGCATCTTCTGCCTAACAACAATAGAGATGTAGAAATACATTAAATTATGTTCATAACTTAAATATTGCCAATTTGATTTTTAGAATAGAGCCAACAGCACCTTTAACAGATTTTTAACTATAATAGAAAATATCATCCACATTAAAAATGAATTTAAAAATTTCATTTACCCTGAGTGTTGGTGGCTCATGCCTACAATCCTAGCTACTCAAGAGGCAGAAATGAGGATTCTAGTCCAAAGCCAACTAACACCTAAAAACCAGAAGTAGAGCTGTGGCTCAAAGGGGTAGAGTACTAGCCTTCAGTAAAAATTCTCAGGGAAACAGTCCATGAACTGAGTTCAAGCCCATGACTAACAAAAAAAAAAATCCATTTACTTAACAGATTAATTCAAAGATATCTGTCTCATTAAGTATTTATGAATCCACTGAGCAGATGAAATATATTGACACATGCTAAACATATAGCAATAGTCAGATGGATGTGGTGGTGAATAACTATAATCCCGGTACTCAGGATACTGAGGAAGGAGGAGTCAGTCTGAAGCTAACTTGTGTTATATAGTGAGACTATCTCTCAAAAAAAAAAACAAACAAAAAACCCCTCAAAACAGCAATTGCATTTAAAAACAATTACTTTTGGGCTGGGAAGGTGGCTCAGAGGTAGAGTGCTTGCCTTGCATGCATGAGGCCCTGGGTTTGATTCCTCAGCACCACATACACAGAAAAAGCCAGAAGCAGTGCTGTGGCTCAAGTGGTAGAGCACTAGCCTTGGGCTGAAGAGCTGAGGGACAGCGCCCAGGCCCAGAGTTCAGGCCTCACGAACGACCAAAAAAAAAAAAAAAAAAAGATGAAATATCCTATTAAACATATTCAGTACATGAAATTTTAAAATACTATCCTTTTATAAAACAAGTTAGTGTATTGAACATTCAATAATATTTGCTCATTGCTTTTTTTTTTTTTTTGGTGCCAGTGCTGGGCCTTGAACTCAGGGCCTAGGCACTATCCCTGAGCTTCTTTTGCTCAAGGCTAGCACTCCACTACATTGTAACATATATGAGAACACCACAGAGAATCTCAACTAAAGCAGGGGACCAACAGGAAGATGGGGAGGTGACCCATGGGAGCCGTGTGTTGGTGGGCTGGTTAAATGCTGCTGAAATAGGCTTGTGGGTCTTGCCTGACCTAGCCCCTGAGGAGGCTGAGATCCCAGTGGGTACCTAGGTTATAATCCAGCCCAGGTAGACAACTTCCTGCGATTCTTGTTTATTTTTGTTTTTATTTTGTTGTTGTTGTGGTTTTTTGGTCGGTGGTGGGGCCTGAACTCTGGGCCTGGATGCTGTCCCTTACCTCTTCAGCTCAAGGCTAGTGCTCTACCACTCGAGCCATAGCGCCACTTCTGGCTTTTTCTGCTTATGTGGTGCTCAGGAATTGAACCCAGGGCCTCATGCATGCAAGGCAAGCACTCTACCACTGAGCCACCTTCCCAGCCCTCCTGAGATTCTTATCTCCAAATAACCCACAAAAAGCTGGAAGTACAGGTTGGCTCAAGTGGTAAGAGTGCTAGCCTTAGGGTGAAAGGCTAAGCTAGGCATGAGGCCCTCAGTCCAAACTCCAAAACTTGCTGGAGAGGCTATTTTTGAGGGGCAGGCAGGGAGGCAGGAAGTGTGACAGAGGGCATGAAATGGATGAATCGCAGCATAAACTCCTGTAAAGCTTATTTACAATAATTTTTAAAAGTTTTTTTTTTGAAATATTTGTTGCAGCTGGGAAGGTAGCTTCGTGGTAGAGTGCGTGTGCATCATGCATGAAGCCCTGGGTTCAATTCCTCACTACCACATACACAGAAAAGGCTGGCAGTGGTGCTGTGGCTCTAGTGGTAGGGTGTTAGCCTTGAACACAGAGAGCCTCGGGGATAGAGCCCAGGCTCTGAGTTCAAGCCCCAGGCCTGGCAAAAGAAAAAAAAAAATTGCTGGGCATTGGTGGCGATGACCTGTAATTTTAGCTAGTCAGGATGCTGTGATTTTAGGATTAAGGTTCAAAGTCAGCTGGGGCAGAAAAGTCTGTGAGAGTCTTATCTCCAGTTAACCACCCAAAAAGCTGGAAGTGGAGGTGTTGTTCAAGTGGTTGCGCGCCAGCCTTGAGTGGGGAAAAAAAAAAGGGCCTTAAATTCAAGGTTCGGGACTGGTGCAAGGATGCGCACACGCATGCACGCACACACACATGCACGCACACACATGCACACGCACACATGCATGCACGCAGACACACGCAGACACACACATGCACGCACACACATGCACACAGACACATGCACACACAAGATTTTTCCAAAGTGGCTTTTCTCTGTGACCTTCACCCCTCCACTATCCCCAAGAAGTCCCCAATTCTCTAACCCCACTCCGACTCTTCCACCCAGTCCCCCTGCCTCCTTCCCCCCTCCGGGCCTCCTTTCCCCAGCCTCCTTCCCCGCTCCCCGGCCTCCTCCCCAGCCCCCTTCCCCCCTCCCCGACCTCCTTCCCCAGCCCCCTTCCCCCCCTCCCCGACCTCCTCCCCGAGGCCTCCTCCCAGCCCCCTCCCCCCCTCCCCGACCTCCTCCCCGAGGCCTCCTCCCAGCCTCCTCCCCACCTCCCCGACCTCCTTCTCAGGGCCTCTCCCCTGGGGCCTCCTCCTCCCCACCTCCTCGGCCTCCTCCCCGAGGCCTCCTTCCCCCAGCCTCCTTCCCTGGCTCTCCTCGCACCTTGGAGCCCCGCAGCACCTGGTCGCAGTACAGCGCCACCTTCTCGTCCCGCCACATGCCCCGCATGGGGGACGCGCAGACGGGAGGCAGCGGCTGCGCCTCGTCCTCGTCCTCCTCGGGCGCCAGGAGCAGGGGCTCGCCCTCCTCCCCGTCGCCCTCGTCCTCCTCCTCCGCGGCCTCCCCGCGGGCCTCGGCCTGCGCGGCGGGCGGGAGCTGCAGCCGGCGCCGGGCCGCCTCCCGGCCCGCCCTGCCCTTCACCGGCCGCGGCGAGGCCACCACCGAGCGCACCGGGGACGCCGCCGCCGCCGCCGCCACCGCCCCGGCCCCGGGGGCCGCGGCGCCCGCCTTCTCGCCTCGCCTGCCGGGGCTGATGTTCCGCAGCGCGTCCTCCGGCCTGGGGGCCCTGCACCCCGACGCCATCTCCGCGGCACCCCGCCGGCCAGCTGCAGCCGTTGGCCGCGTTTCCCGCCCCGGGCCGCGCCGGCCGTGCGCGCGGGGCGCCCCCACCCGCTGCCCCCCGCGAGCGCGGCCTCGAGGGTCCCGCCGGGCCTGAGGCTCCGAGCCGATGGCAGAGGCGGGGCCGGGATGAGGGGGCACAGCGGCGGTGCCACCGACCCCCCCAAAGCGGTCCTACCCCGGCGCTGGCGGTGCCCGGGGACCCTCCCTCACCCCACCCGCGGCCCCCGCACCTCCCGCCGCTGAATTCCCTCCCAAGGGGTATTTTCTGGGGTCCGCATGGGTTTCGGGGTGATTGCTACCCCCTCTCGCCAGGCCGCGGGTCACCAGGACCCCCACGATAAGCATGTGTCATGGACAACACTGACCTGACCCTACACCCCACGCCAGCACGCGCACTTCCACACGCCTGAACCCCAGGTAACCCCAGCGCAACCTCCTTTAGGTTTTAAATGGTTCCTTCACTGTGTGGCAAGGCTGAGCGTTGTCAGGCAGGTCGTTGGCCTGTCTGGTCTCGGTTGAGTTGATCAGAATTCTCACATAAAAGATTACATTAGGGGCTGGGAAGGTGGCTCAGTGGTAGAGTGCTTGCCTCGCATGCATGAAGCCCTGGGTTCAATTCCTCAGTACCACTTAAACAGAAAAAGCTGGAAGTGGTGCTGAGGCTCAAGTGATAGAGGTGCTACTTGAGCAAATGAAGCCCGGGGGCAGTGCCCAGGCTCGGAATTCAAGTCCCAGCACTGGCAAAAACGAAAAAGAGAAAAGAGATTACATTAGCTGGGTGCTAGTGGCTAATGCTTGTAAATCCTAGCTACTCAGGAAGCTGAGATCAGGAAGCACTGGAGTTCAAAGCCAGTCTGGGCAGGAAAGTCTGTTGAGACTCATAACTGCAGTTAACCACTGAAATGCCAGAAGCAGAGCTGTGGCTCAAATGGTAGAGCATTAGACTTGAGCAAAAAAAGCTCAGGGTCTCATTCCTGAGTTCAAGCCCAGGACTGACTGGCAAAAATAAAAAATAAAAAAATTGCATTATGTAACTGTTAAATTGGACACAAATTTCCAGTGGGAGTAATGTGTACAGGCCATGAATATTTTCACAGTGAAAGTCTGCCCAACACATTTTGAAGAACAGAGATCATTTCTGGCATCCAGTTATTGAATGTCCATTGAGCCAGTTGGAACAGCATTTGTTTACCGTCTAGTGGTGAAGTCTGCCCCAGGGCAGGCAGCTTCGAAGGGGAAGAGCCTTGGGAAAACACCTGCTTCCCTTCCTGGACATCTGGAAGGACACTGTGTTAAATTCTGCGCTCGTTTTGAGGAAAACATTAGTATGACTATCATGTTACTGCAGTTCAAGAAGTAATACACGCATCATGTTTTCACTCTTCATTCTCTTTTCTCAGAAGTCCTGCACTTGCTTTAAAATAATGCCCTTATAAGTATAGAGGTTTCATTTAACCAAGTCAAAATCTATTAGTCTATTGTTTCTTAAAACATGCTCATCCCTGTAATCCTAATTACTCAGGAGGCTGAGAGCTGAAGATCTTAGTTCAAAGCCAGCCCAGACAGAAAGTCCAACAGACTCTTATCTCCAATTAACCACCCAAAGGCCAGAAGCAGAGCTGTGGCTCAAGTGGTAGAGCAGTAATCCTGAGCAAAGAAGCTCAGAGACAGCACCCAAGCCATAAGTTCAAGCCCCAGCACACACACACACACACACACACACACACACACACACACACACACACACACCTGTGAAATTTATTGAAAACAATACCACGATTCTGAGATCTCAGCCTCCTGAGTAGCTAGGATTACAGATGTGAGCCAGCAGCACCCAGTTAACAATTATATTTATTATTATTATTATATTGATGTCCTTGGGTTTGAACTCAGGGCCTTGCATTTGCTGAGTTGATGCTAGACACTTTAGCCATGCCTTCAGCCTTGCTTTTGGCTAGTTACTTTGGAGACGGAATCTACTGAACTTTTTGCTCAGGTAGCTTTGGGTTGTGATCCTCAGATTTCAATCATCCAAGTAGCTAGGATTGTAGGCATGAGCCACCAGTGCTCATGTTTTAAATTCACATTGTGGAAGAAAAGTCCTTTTCTTCTCAGAAGAAATGATAATTGAGTCTTTTGAAAGTTATTTTTTTGTATTTTATTCATGATCAAAGCAAAAGGTAATAAAAACTATCCTGAGCCAATGTGGCTGTCTGCAGAAAAGGTAACATGAAAGAGAAAAACAAATTGGCTATGTGCCAATACTGAACAATACTATTAGATTTGGGAATGTTTTCTTTCTGTGTTTTTTGTTTGTTTGTTTTTTGTTGGTCATGGGGCTGAACTCTGGACCTAGGCTCAAGCTGTCTCTCAGTTCTTCAGCTCAAAGCTAGCACTCTACCACTTAAGCCACAGCTCCACTTCTGGCTTTTTCTGCTTATGTGATGCTGAGGAATCAAACCCAGGCCTCACGCATGCAAGGCAAGCACTCTACCACTGAGGCACCTTCCCAGCCCTCAGTAGTGTGTGTGTGTGTGTGTGTGTGTGTGTGTGTGTGTGTGTGTGTGTGTGTGTGTGTGTGTGTGTAGAAAAGAGTCTCACAGATGTTACTGTCTGGACTGGCTTTGAACTGTGATCCTCAGGTCTCAGCCTCCTGATTACAGGCTTAAGCCACTGGTACCCAGCTCAGTGTTGTTTTTTTAAATCACATTGTTATAAAGTTAGAAAATAGTACATTTTATTTTAATTTTTAGTTTAACATGTAATCATTTTATGTTAGAAACCACTTGACACATAATATTCAGTAGTTACATATGCTTTCCTTGTGTGGATCTAATTTGTACATCTTTATATTTCCACATGCTTGGGTAACAGTAATTTATTAAATTATATACGTATGTGTCATTTTAGATATCTGTGCATAAATTTTTACCAGTAGTTTGGATTTTCCCCTAAGGGAAAATTGGATTATACAATCAAGATTCTACAAGATTGGCTTGTAAACTGAGTGCTGGTGACTCATACCTGTAATCTTAGAAAGGAGGCTCAGAATAGTCATTCAAAGCCAATCAAGGCAGAAAAGTCCCATAGACTATGATCTCCAGTTAATTACCAAAATGACAAAAGTGAAAGTGTAGCTCCAGTGGTACAGCACCACCTATGAAAAGACTAAGCAAGAGTATGAGGCCCTGTGTCCAATTTCCAAGATTGGCACGCACGCGCGCGCACACACACACACACACACACACACACACACACACACAAGATGTATTACTAGATTTTACTTGCAGTCCTATATAGCCGAATTGTTTTCCCCAAAGCATTAATTTATTAGTTCCATTATCAGATAATAAAAACCCACTTCTGGCTTTTGTTGGCTAAATGGAGATGAGTCTCACAGATTTTCCTGCCTGAACTATCTTTGTGCTGCAATTCTCAGATCTCCGCCTCCTGAGTAGCTGGGATTACAGGCCATCAGCACCTGTCTTAAAACTGTTGTCTTTCTAAAAACTTTGAACCCAGTTTTTCTACCCTTCAGCAGGAAATGAGCCTTTCCATGTGTGTCTCTGGCTTTAATATTTTTCTTTCAATTCCTGATTAATCAGACAGGCTTCCTTTGTCTTTTGCCAATAAATCAATAAGAGCCAGGAAGAACAACTTGATTCCATAATCCTTTGAAAGACTATTACTTCACAAAACTTCCCAAACTCCTAAGATCTTACACTCCAAGGTCCTCTTCCCTTCTAAAAACCCTGTAAATGTTAGAATTACACTGGGTGCCAGTCCTGGGGCCTGAACTCAGGGCCTGTGTGCTATTCCTGAGCTTATGGCTAGTGCTCTACCACTTGAGCCACAGCCCCACTTTCAGCTTTTTTCTAGTTAACTGGAAATAAGAGTCTCAGGGACTTTCCTGCACAAGCTGGCTTTGGACCATGATTCTCAGATCTCAGCCTTCTCTGAGTAGCTTACAGGTGAGAGCCTTTATTAACTGAAAAATATTTCTGATCAAAACTTGCTTCCCAGCTCATGGTGAAGCAAATGTAAGTTTATAAACACTTTTAACCTTGAGTCCCTGAGCATATAATGCTCCACAGTATTTCCCCACTGCTTTGGAAGGAAAAAGCTAAGTACATGTAAGTAAGAACAGTTGGTTGCAGGCTAAACCCCAAATAGACAAATGGTTGACATTTCAGAGATCTACCCAGACGTACCCAGAGTTTCTTGACATTTCCTTATCATCTAGAGGAAGAGCTCAAGGTCAGAACAAAAACAGTCCACTTGACAGTGCTGTGTGAGGGGATGGAGTGTAATCAACCAGATCTGGAAGTGGAAGGGGGAGTCTACTGGTGAGATGACACTTAAGAGGGTCTCAGGTAAAAAGTTGGGAACATGCTGGGCGCTGCCGGTGGCTCACGCCTGTAATCCTAGCTACTCAGGAAGCTGAGATCTGAGGATCACTATTTGGAGTCAGCCCTGGTAGAAAAATCTGAGAAATTCTTATCTCCAATGAAGCAGCAAAATGCCCTACTAGATATATGGTTCAATTGGTAGAGCACCAGAAGCTAAGTGATCCTGAGTTCAAGCCCCAGTACTGGAGGGGGAAATGAGGAAAATCTTGGCCTTTGGCAGCTACAAGTAGAGGAAAGACACACACACACACACACACACACACACACACACACACACATATTGTTAAGATACTGTACAGAGGGGTTACAGTTACATGAGTAAGGCAATGAGTACATTTCCTATCCAGCATCGTTACCCCCCTCCTTTGTTTTTCCCCTATCATCCCTACCCTCCCCACCTCCCCAGTTTCCCCCCCCCCAAAAAAAAAGTTGTAACGTTCGGTTTCAACACAGTGTCTTATACATCTTGTTACAATGGGTCAACCTGTATCCTTGTTTCAGCATTTTGTTATTTCCCTTCCCCTCCCCAAATTAGAAAAATGTATATATAAG